AAAAGTGTTGTCCAGGGTACAAAGATTGTCAGGTTCCTGGCTCGCGGTCCGAGGACCGCTGGGGGCGTCGGGAGGCCTCTGATGTCTCATGGCTGTCCGGCCAAACTGGTGTCTCGGCGTATTCGGGTCGCACGCCGTGCTGTTTGGACGATTTGAGTTGCAGTCCGTTCCATGTAGGCATTGGGTACAGTCCTACCTGAAAATTGCTCTGTGTTTTGCGTTTCTTGAAGGTCGCAAGTTTAAGAAACCGGACACTCAGCGAATGTCTGTGTCGAAATATTTCCCGATCCCTTCTGGATGACATGAAATTTTTCGGGTTTATTTTGTTTGTATTTTCATTTCTTTATTTCTCGTGATTTATCTGTTTTACAAGTTTTTGTTCTCTGTTTAGTTATTCGTCCATCCTTCTTCCTTCATCACTTGTTTCTCTCCCGTCTCCTTCGTTTAACCCTTTGAAGCCGTAGGTCGTCTGAATTATGTTTAAGAATCCAGTCCGTACCGCGAAGAAAACACTACACCTCACCATTACGAAACCAGCTGATTTTCGTAATGGTGAGGTGTAGTGTTTTCTTCGCGGTACGGACTGAATTCATAAATAATATTCAGACGATCTTCGGCTTCAAAGGGTTAAGAACGGAATTCATTTCTGTGGCCGGAATAAACATCACAATTTGCCAACACACAGAGAGGTCCTTGAAGCCCTGCTTTCCGGGTCTGAAAGGGATAATCGGGGATGGGCAAAAAGAGAATTGATGGCAGCCTTTAAATAAGCCAAAAGACTGTTCGCTGCTTCTGTCGTTAAGAAATTCTTCTGTTGCTAAAAGTGGGTAAACAGGGGCTCGGTTGTCATTTACAGATTGCGCGCTCGTTTCTGTTTCTTTGGTGTACAGTTCATGCCCGCCCTCGAATTCTTCACTCGCTCTTGTACCGCCTTACGATGAATGGGGCTCCCGACTTCCGGGCGACGTTGATGGTACTCGATCTAGAAGTTTCGTTTAGTCACATTTCGTGTCGTATTCTACTTTTTTTTTTCCACACACTCCCCCCCTCCCTTCTGAAGCTGTCACAGCGAAACCTTTAATATAAATCGAGATTAATCTAGCCAGAAGTTTTAATTTTCCATGAGTGCTCTGCTGTCTTCAGTAAGAAAATAGCAAATGCTGACAGCCATTGTCTTGGCGCCATCTTGCATTGACGTGAGTCTCTGTGCGTACTGAGTACTGCTCATTGTTCAGACGTATCTCGTGAAAGTAATTTTTGTGGCGGGTGTAATTTTGATCTGTCTGACAAACTCCGTGGGGCAGAATTCTTCTTATTCTTCTTCTTCTTCAGAAGCTGATGCTGGCTTGCAGAAATTCGTCGTCTTTTGTGGAACCCGATGGCTCATTACAATCATTAAAGGTTAGCGGTTCGCATGAGTGCGCTGCCCGCCGTGTGGATCAATTTCACGCCTGTCCATTTTAAAATAACCCTCCCTAATCCAGGTTGCCGTCTTGACTCATATCACAGATGTCTGAATTTGTTAAAACCCAACGAGAAATTGGAGACAATTTTAACAATTTGATATTAATAAATTCTGTTATTTTTATTTAAAAAGTTATTTAACGACGCCTTTCCAGTAGCTATGTTGGATTTGACTTTTTCACGACGGTGTGTCCGAAGATGGCTGTCTTCTGGGTTGTAGCGCCGTGTTCTCTGGTAGAAGTTTACCGACGTTTCGGAGAGGTCCTTGCTACATCCATCATCGCCCTTACGTTTTCGTTACCAAGTGTTCGAAGCATTTCACTTCCCGTTACGAGCCAACCCCGGGGGAATGCGCTTCGTTGTACAACTTCGTACGAGCGAAATTTCTTTTCGTGAATCCGCGTAAAGCGAGGTCTGACTCCAGTTCCCCTGTTCCCGCGTCTTTTCCTGACATATGACAGTAATTTCTTTCCTAGTTGCCGCTGCACTGTTAAAGGAGCGGACGGACGCAGTTGTGAGGGCGACCCGTGCAATATAAAAGAGAAGGAGCGGTTTACAAATGTCCAGCGAATGATTGGACCGGGCGCTCGCGCGTGTTGGTTTGTCGAGGGAGCGGAGGAGTAGGGAAACTGCCCGCTTATTGAAACTGGCCATCACTACATTTATATCTGTGACAGTTATTGAAAACTCTTGATTATCGATCACGATACTCGTAGATGCAATTTCAGTTCTATTTCAGTTTTCCCATTTGTTAGATTTACTGCTTCAATGTAGACGATGTGATGACCCGCGCACAGACATCGTGTCATGGACCAAGTTACATATCTTTTCATATTTACATCAGTGTTTATTCTATTTATATTTCGACATAAATGTCTTTTTTTGATTGGTGGTCTTATGGGTTTTGTTGCCGTGTGGTCATTTAGGAGTGTTTCGGAGCAACTTATCGCTTCTGTCTTCAGGGTGAAAATCACGATTGACATTTTAACTGCCGTGAGAACCCAAAGTCTCAGACAATGTCATTATCACCAGATAAAATGCTTGGATCTTTTATAAATATTTATGTTCACAAATTAAAGATTTGTAATTCATAATCATGAATCATTTTTGTATTCAGGTTAATTATGACGTGTTTTACACGTGTGTGGTTTTAAGTGGACGGTACTGATTAGCCCTCGTTGTTGAATTATGTATTTTATTTTTACCTGATCTTAAATTCGCTATCACCAGTGCCGACAGAGGCTGAACGTATGCGAATCGCCACATTTGGACGGATTCAAGTTGTTCATGGCCGCAACAACACTAACCCCTAGGCAATAAGCATTGTTACTACACGTTGCAAGCAATATTTCAGGTTCAAAGGCTTCCATCTGTACTGGATGGAAGAATGAGATAAGAGACATGTTTGGTGCTTAAATTTTGTCTCGTATTGCGTGTAGCATAAGCTAAGGTAGAGGAGATAAAGCTCCAGCCATTTATCGCTACCAAAGTTAAAATCTTGTTTTGGTCGTGTATTTAGAGGCGCTGTTTAAAAGGCCTTTAAGTTGAACAAGGGGGTGTTAATAGTCAGTGAATTTCGTTGTCAAAGTATAATTATGGTAATACACTTAGTAGCATTTAAGTAATTCCGTCCATTTACGAAAGGATTCGGGTGAAATTGTATGACTGTGGGTTATCAGATGTGCAGGAAAAATATTTACGAAAATTCGTGGGTCACTCGAAAAAAAAAAAAGTCCTGATGGAAGTCTACGTCATTGGTTTTATTTCCTTGACCTTGAGATTGCAGACAGTCGGGCTAATTAACTTTAACTTAACTTGTGCCTTGTAATTGTTTAATTTTAACCGTCTAATCACAATAAAATATTTTATTAAATATAAAAATATTAAAATATTATTACTACAATTAACATTTAATATTTCAAATATTTAAAATATATTAAAATGGTGCTCTTTCTATCGGAATGTTCGATTTACAATTAGAGCATCATCTTTTTTCACGACATGTTTCGGTTTTCAATGAACCATCTTTAGGTGTATAATCGATATAAATTCAAATGTAATATTCTAAATGCAATCCTTCGTCAGATGTCCATTAAATATCATTTATCCTCTTCTATATCAATTGTACTTTGTTATCACATTTAATATTTAATAAAATATTTTATTGTGATTAGACGGTTAAAATTAAACAATTGTAATCATCACAATATGACGCAACATTATCATCTCATTAACTTGTGCCGTTGACAGGAAGTCCTTGTTAATCTCGTGACAGATTTTAATAATCCAGAATCATTTCTTACATTATATCCAGCGATTAAGCATACTTACCCGCTTTCTAGCAGATTCATTAAGATGATAAATTAAAACCATCTTAATCTTAATCCGTTGTCGCCTGAACCTCACTGCAATCTTGGCCTAGTCTGAAGCCCACTTGGGTGGAGGCCATCTTGAGGCATCTGCTTTCGTGGGACTAAATAGCTTCGTAACCGACTTTCTAGTTCCATGAAAAGATTTTGTATTTCATCAGCCTACACATCTTCAACGAAAAGACATTTTCTGATTTTCTTATTTCACGTGTTAACACGCTATTCGTGTAAGATTCATTTTAATATTATCATTTCATTGGTTCGTAAGTCTACCAAGTGATTTTGTTCCTGGCGATTTAAAAGCAAATGTTTAATGCGGTCTGCTTTATACCGTGCTACATGTAATTCCCATCTCGTCTGCATTCAGTCCATACAGTGTGGATATATGGCACGGCATTGTCTTCCCGCTATGCGCGATCACTGCGTCGGTTGCCGGGTTTCCGAGTTACAGCGGCACAACCGCAAAATATCCACTCCGCGTTTCTTGCCTTGTAATTGTTATGGGAACATTACGTTGGACACTGTCCATTATCTGAGGTCGGGATACGCCGTTTCGGGAGTTTACTGATATTTTTTATTATATCGGTGACATTGGTTGAAGACGGAGGTAGAACTAGGTCCTGAAACGTCGTGTTTGTTTCATGTGCTTCAGATAGTTTCAAATGTCGAACGTAATTTTCCAGCCAATGTCACAAGCCTTAACAGAATTCAGATCACACCGTTTTCAGTTCTTA